TATTATTTATTGCAAATTATTTGTCTTATTTGCAGGAATAACAATCAAATTATGTTCCACTAGGTGGCAGCAGATGGCTATAAAAAAGAGATCTTTGTGTCTTTCCTCAATTCCTGCAAGTACATCAGCATTATCTTCAACTAAACAGGTCCAACATTAAAGTGAGTACGTTCTAAATTTACAAGTTACACACAGAAGATAATTATATGTCTTTTTGAGATATTTCTCATGTGAAATATGTGACATGGTGCCCGAGAGATATTTCAGAAATGAATGCTTAGTGAAAGGGCACATAGGTGACAGGTCCAGACTGTAGAACAGAGTGATTTCAGTGGTTGTGAAAGAGTGAAAGAAAGAAAATTGCTGCTTCACTTCTGTGTCTGTTTCCAGTAAAAGTTTCTCAATAAAGACCTTTTCTTTGACATGCTAAAAGTAATGGCAGAGAACTGGTTGTCAAACCCCAGTGAGAGTATCCTGCGGGTAGTACAAACAGCCTCATTAGTAAAAATGAGTGCCTAAATAAAAGTGAAACACTCCGCTACGCTGTAGAGCCACTGATGCATGCAGTTGGGTCTCAGGCTAAAAACTACACCTGGTTACCAGGAGTCGTTTTTACACTCGGCAAACAGTCTACTGTTCTCAGGAAAGCAACATTTTCCTAAGAAATACAACAAAAAAATAATGTTTCTGACAACCTACACTTGATCCAGCTTGGTCCCGTTGAAGGCGTGGCGTTGGATTTCTCTGAAGCCGTTTCCATACAGCATGCTGCAGCAACAGAACAGAGAGTCCACACAAGTAAAAAGAGCGGACTCTGCTTTGTGTGAATGCAATAGTTTAGGCAAAAATGACAATATTACGATAATATTACATGACCTGCGATTGATGCCGTTTGTTAAAGTGCTTCATAATTAGCATACATACATGTTGAGCATTAAATCTTACTGCACTGAATTATATGCTGCCAGTATGCCTATATATCCCTGGCCTTATTAAGAGCTGCAGTGGTAACTCACAGTGTCAACACGTCATTGGTGATTCCACGGAAGGAGTTGGCGGGGATTTCAGTGATGTAGGGATGATCCACCATTTCCCTGCAAGTAAAGGCACAGATTAGGATAATTCGCCATGTTGAGAATATACTCTACACATTTTATAATTTTTATTTTTTGGGCGAGAGCTGTAAAATTGCAGAAACTTACAAAATGAAGTTCATGTCGCTGGAGCGAATATTGCTCAAAACAGGGAAGAAAGTAAGGCCAGTGTTGAAAATACCCCTGAGCAGCAGACGGAAAAACAGTCGGATAAACATGGCATCATTTAAAGGTTGAGTGTTTCACTATACGATTACACAGTAGCTTATGAGCTTTATTAAATCAGACAGTGTGGGATTATTAAAATTATTATTATTATTATTATTATTATTATTATTATTATTATTATTATTATTATTATTATTATGAGCAGTGCAATCCATGTCTGAAATGTTTCTTGGTGATTCTTGCTTCCTTCTATTTTGATGACCTTTGTGACCTTTCTACTCGTAATTTTTTTTCACGTAATGAATCACTTCCTGTGTGTAATGCAAAATATAGAGAAGTAAGCCTTGATCCTTATTAATGTATTAATAGATTGACTTTAATGGACATTTATTTGTATTAACCCGTTGGTAAAATCGACTAAGTCGCTCCGTTGCTAGACTTATTGGAGAAAAAAAAGAAGAAAAAAAAAGTCTTAAGTACCAGTGACATGTACACTCTAGTAAAACACTGCTCTAAAACTAACACCAGTCTAAACCAATAAATCTCTGTGTTTTGAGAGGAAACAACAGCTTCTATTTGTTTACCAAAGACAAAAATCCACAGGAGATTGACATCTTTCTTTCTCGGGCCAACTGTTTCCGTGCATTTCCTAAACAGACTGTGCGACTGCATTAAACTCAATTGAATCGTGACTCACTCTTGCCCATACTGACACACACACTCGACTCTATGAATAGATCACAATGTCTAAATTACTGCCAGATTTAGGTTTTATAAATGTTACGTGGATTGCCCCGGTGTCGTCAGTTTGGGCTCTTCACTGCCAAACGGGGATATACTGTATGTTTAAAACAAAAAAGGAGCATGTAGTAGAAAATACTCACAAGTATTTAAGGTTGGGAAGGTCTTTAAAGGCTTCTGGGTCGACATAGGTCAAAGACTTCGCGTTCCGTATTTCACTGAAAGAGCAAGAGTCAAAAAGAGTGTTGTTTTTTTTTTGGACTGGATAAAAAAAAAACCACGTAATGTTGTGTAACAAAGAGGTCAAGAGCTCCGTGGCAGTTCGAGTCCCTTGTATTTTGAATAGTGTGTTTATTCTGGGCTGAACGCCTCTGTATCGTTTACTTCTTATTTCTCCAGTGGTGTGTGTGCTGGCCTTTCGTTGCCAACCTCACTGATGCTTACAGAGAGTTTTGGTCAGGTCAGAGGAAGTCTGGGAGTGGACGTTGGTAATGTTCCCGAATCTGAGTATCAGAAATAGAATGGAATAGAGAATTTTGGAATTCTGTGTGTGGTCCTGCTTCACGCTAAAGACTCTTGGGCTGGTCACACTATCCCAAAATATGAAAAGATTTGTATTATTAAATCCTACATTTTAGTCATAGCCAGGGCCAGGTTTAGTGGTGGAGAGTAGTTTAATCTATCTATCTATCTATCCAACCATCCGTCATCCATCCATCCATCCATCCATCCATCTATCTATCTTTCTATTAATACAATTTAGACCATTTCAAAACCTCTTTAAACTGTAAAGTTTTTAATGATTTATTGACTATTTTTCACATAATTACACATATATGTGCATTACAAATTAGACCATTTCAAAACATTCATACATTTCACATAATTACACATATATGTGCATGTATAATACCATATTTTATATGTAAATGTAGAAAATTAAAATCTATAAAAACTAGTTTAATATCATCATATAAACTTCATGAACCCCTTAGTGGTTGCGGCCCCCTCTGTTCTAAATTGTGCTTTTTTTTTTTAACTCCTGTTTGAATTTAAAGTTTCACACAATGGGTGCTTTGCCCGTCGGTGACCGGTCCAGAATATTCAGCACCACCTGCGCTTCTCAACTAAACCGGCAGCAGGAAGCAAAGCATTAATCTGTGTCTGGGCTTGACGGAAACCTGAGAGAGAGGCTATTATCTCATGCATGCCACAACACCAATCAACGCCAATCAGCGGCAAATAGGCCCCAGAGGTCCAAAGTACACTCCCTGAACGTGGCCACGAGCCTGTGTTTTGATATCAGCAATCACGGAGCCAAGAAGAACAGACCGAAAAGTACGGCGAAATACCGGCCATCTTTAAAGACGGCACGTCCACAGATACACATTAACATTGACTGTAACTGGTCTGTAATACGTACAGAAGGTTGACGGGACGGATTCTAGCTCTCCTTTCTATTAATAATGTTAGATTCCTATCAACTCCACAGTGATGTAACTTTTTCATCCGTCCAAGCCTCTATTTACTTATCATTCTGATGAGGTCGTGTAAGTGATGTGTGGCGGTGAAATACGCTTATGTAATTGGCCTTTTTCCCACTCTATAATTTGCCGCCGGCCCCATTCAGAATTAAGCAATTTTCTCCACACAGACAAAATGGAGCAGCTTAATCAATGAAACCCAAGGAAGAGCCCGTCTTTACTCACATGTAGTCGATTTTCTTCAGGCTGTGGAATGAGTGCCTCTCCAGTCTTTGCAGGGTAATATCCACCGATATGTATCTAAATACATTTAAAAACAATATATATATATCAAATTTTCTGATTTAATTTTTATTAAAAATCATTCTTTATTTTGACTATTTGCTCTGTTATTGAAGGAAGGCAGTGTGGCAGAGGTGGAATCCAACACCTGCTCTCAGCGGTCCTAACTACGTGGTTCCTAAAATCACCCGCAATCCTGCAACTGTTTCCTGGATTTATGAACCCACCTTGTCTCTCAAAATCCCCCAAAGTCTGGAGCAATTTTAAAGGTATGCGCCGCACATATACATTTGCAAGTCGTCAGTCTCGCTCTCATTTGTTATTACTTGGAAACAAGGCTGCTTCGAAAATAAACTCCGACCTTACCAAAATCCTAGCACAGAAATCTAACGATGTAGACAAATGTTGGCTGGACTTCTCTCTTGTCTGTCGTTTTGTTGAGATGGAGAACACACTGTAGGATCAGTGGAACCACTTTTTGGTTATCCACTCACATGTACCTTCATGCACAGCTCTAGCTCCGTCCTCAAGTGTTTGTCCTCTACTGGGAGACTCTACTTCTACTGGGAGACTACGATCAGCACTCAGAAATCTCTACTCAAATACCTAGCTGATATCCAGGCCCCTCTGCGGTTCAAGGACCAACATTCCTGATGAAGGAGCGCATTAGCGTTTCCAGCTGTGATTAGGAGCCAGTGGTGATACTGAACAGAGAGAATGTCATCTGCTCGTGTGGCAGGCGAAAAGGAAAAGGTGGACGGATTGGAACCAGGATAAAAACCTGGATTAATAATAACGGCAAACCTGAGGAGATTCAATACAAACTTTGAATAGAGTCCTGTGATTTGCTACTTACATCCTCGTGATGTTGACCATGTTGGCAAACACATCTGATGGAACTGATGACAGTCGGGTCTCAAAAAACCATCTGGTTGAAGAAATACATAAATATGGACACTTTAGATGCATTATATATGTATATGTATGGTATATAAAATATCCATTGTTATTTTATATATTTAGTGCATCAACCACAAAAAAAAAGGAAAAAGAAGAAAAGAAGAAAATATACCGCTCCCATTCCCTCAAAAAAAAAAAAGCCAGACCTAAAGGTTTACAGTGGATTATCATTGCTTTTGATGACGGTTATTTCAGGAACAAGAGAAAAAAACAAATCCTGAGCCAGAGTCGTGTCTGTCATTGATAAGGAACATGTTTAATAGAAAACGATGCAGTAAATGAGAAGGAATTGCTCCAAAACTCTGGTATTCATGGAATTGTACTTCAGGGGAACATACAGGAAATTCTTCTGCACGAGTCTATAACCATGGTTAGCTGATTGTCATTTGATGGGCTAATGCATTGTTTCCCAAAGACTGGGTCGCGACCCTCAGGTGGGTCGCAAGAGATTTTTGTTTGGGTCATCACGCATCATGTTTCCCAGGTGTTTACGAATAATGTCTACTGACAAAGGTTTGTGACTTTTAAAATATGGGTCCCCAGAAAAAAAGCCAAACACGGTTAATGGATGCTGCATTTGTATTCAGTGTCACGCTGCAGCCCAGGACTGCTCCACAGTAGGACGCTCGTGCAAAAAAAAAAAGTGTTCCGACCCGATCCTTCCCAATTAACAGTCGTGAAGTTGTCCATTTTGGAACTAAATAAACCAAACGACTTGGCCGAAGCCACCATCTCCCTGCACCTTTACTTCATCACGGGAACAATAGACTAATTCAGAAGCTTCAAATCGGGTCCAGGCATTTAAATCACGTTCACATGGGGGGGGCGGGGAGGGGGTGAGTCACTAAGTAGACACCGGAGCGCAGCTCCCTGCACACACTTTGACAGGCTCAAACAAACAGAGGGATACAGAGCAGACCCCTGACACCAAACACCCCTGTCAGAACCCTACTGTTTCCTTCACCACGCTGGAACCCGAATACCAGCATGCATTTTCCCTCGGGAGTGTGAAGAGAAGAGCAGTTGGGCCATCTCGCAGGCTTAAGGAGAAAATTACACCCCTCTCCGTTTGTACTTCACGGGAGAAACGAGAGAAAACAAACACGACGGGAATGGGGTTTGAAGTGGGGAGAAGCCACGTAATTCATTATAGTGTCAACACTGGATTGACAACACGGCCGTGTTTACTACGGCCGCCGTCTCATTTTTGACCCGTAATGGTCTGTGGTGACTGCTAGACGGGGTACGTTACATGTTACAACCTGCACTTTAATCACAGCGAACAAGTGTAGAAATGCTGATGCGACACAAGTCCGTCGCGTCTCCTCAGTAAAGAAACGACATCAATCCTTTAAAAAACAAAGTTCTGGATATTCAACTGCATTCATTTCTACTTTGACATCAACACTTGAGGCTATTATTGTTGAATGTTAAAAGTAAAAGTAACAATTTCCATTACACGACCCATCGGTTTAGATTAATGGCTGGGGGAGACTGTCAGTATTTCCAGGAATCGCAGTTAGACCTCATCATGTTCACTGTCTTACTTCTTATTTTACAATTAAGTGCCCACCACTCATCTGTTACCATTCAGGCTTTAGCTTTGGAATTTCACTCTCCACTCGGGGGAGATTTTTTTTGGGGGGCCTATGATCACGACTTATCGCATTTTTATTCGTACCCAATTTCCTGTAACTCCACTTGAGAGGCTCTGTGTCACCTTCAGTTTTTTTTTTGAAGTCCTTTTTCCTCTGATTACTGTCAAATGGGAATCTCGGGGTGTTTGAGAATTGTGCAGTAAAAAGTAAATATTGTATTTGAATGCATCGTCCAGACGCAGCCAGGAGTCACGCTACACAGACTTTTAAGTATGTCTGTGCTTTCCTTTCCACCTCTCTGACTCCCAGTGGCAGAATAACCTCCACAAGTAGGTTACACACGCACACACACACACTCACACACACTTGGAGGACTTTAAACTTTTCAGTATCCCCAAATGCACACTTACACACAGTCAAGAACAGGCCTTTGCTTTCTTAATTTTTTTTATAAATTCAGTTTCTTAATGTTTCCCCTTCAGCCCAACATTATAGAATTATTGATCGATTTCCTAATGGAGAATTCGTAAAAATTCGTAAAAACCATTGTAGTGAAGGATAAGAACAGAATGGTTGTCGTGAAGCCTCGCTCGGCACTGACGCAGAAACCTTCGACCTGACACTGTCCAAAGGTAACATGTTTTTTTTTCTTATAGCTGTTTAATACATGCAGTATCGAATGTGCTTAATATGCACAAAATGGTGTAAAAACATCTGTGTCCTGGACTGTGACCCCAATTGCCTCCAGACCTCGAGGTAAGTCAGGCTACGCAGATGTTGGTGTATCACGTAGCAGGGATATTAGATATTATTTCCCAAAAGAGAAATTCTACTTAAAATTCCTATAAATTTTCTGCTTAAGTGGAGACCCTGCAAAAGGAGTTATTTGGAGCGCAGGTTAGTAATAAATCAAGTCTCGACCACAAAAACGTGCCATTAGTTGGTTTGCAAAGTGTAACAAAACAACACCGTGGGCGAACACTGCAGAGTAACCTGTGTGGTACAGGCAAAAGTTTAATGACGTCTTTATTGGAATTCTTGCCTGGAATTGAACTGGGGTCACGTCAGTCCAGAATGTGATGGTGCGTTCGGTGTTTGTGGTGAAATTTTAGGCAGAAGACGTGAGTGAGAAATACCTGGGGATGTTTTGACATTCACTTTTATCAAAACATGTAAATAGAAATGGTCAAAAACGGTATGAGAGAAATGCAAAAGAGTTCTATTTGAGTTCTATTTTCTCTCAAACAGTTTTGAAACCTTTAGAACAACATTATTTAAGACTATTACTGTCCACCTTGTTGATGACAATATGACTTAAATAAATAAAAAAAAGTTGTTTACTTTCTGATGTATTGATCAGAACATCAGAGATGGTTATTATTATTGTCTTTTTTTAAAAGTCATAAATAAACTGAATATGCTACATTATTTATGTCAGCACATGTAACATTTATTTATTTATTTACTAATTTAACATCAAACGAACATAACTCTCCAGTCAGAAACGACGAATATCTCCTGAATAGAATAACCGCTTAACAACAAGGGCAGAGCCGAGCTCCCATGGGAACACTTAGCAGAAATATTCATGATATTATAATGACTTTTCCTCGGGGTTAAAAGCACTTTAAATTCATAAGGCCAGGGGAGGAAAAGAGTGCGGAATCGCTTTCACAGATGCGTCTTAAACGCCTACTCACAGAGACTCGGTGCTGGACGGAAACCTGGGGAAGAAGTCAATGTCATAGCAGGTGATGGTGCGGGTCTGCCACCACTCAGAGCAGTCACAGACAGCGGGGCAGGAGCCAGCCTCCGACAGGCTGCGGACAGGGAGGAAGAGCAGCGTAAACACGGCGCATGTTATCACCTGCAGGCTGCAGAGCATGCTGACTGTCAAAGTCGGTATCCCACACTTGACCTGGACTCCTGTGCGTCCACCTGGGGCTCCTGTCGATGTTCTCACCAACGAAATTAGACCGCAAATAAAAGACGAGTGCGAGGCTGGATATAATGGCTGGGGGGGGGGGGGGGGGGGAGAAGGGGGGGGGGGGGGGGGGTGAGACACAGAGAGAGACTGGGGGAGAGAAAGGGGTGGAGGATGAAACAGTGTGTGTGTGTGTGTGTGTGTGTGTGAGAGAGAGAGAGGGAGTGCAGTCCAAGTTTCGTTCCAGGAGTTATGCAGACTTGTTAAAGATGCAGATAGTATTTGGAGGTGGTCTCCAGTTTCAGGGTAAAAGGTGGACTTCTGAGACACTCTTGTGTCAGACCGAGGAATAGTATTATTTTATGTTTTCCTTCTTTTAAATTATCCATTCAAGAATTTGACGTATCGATTGTAAATCTCATGTTGATAATATTTTAAACAAAATAATAATAATAATAATATTAAAAATACACATTATTGTATACCGTCTATTGTTATTTACTGTATATAGCCTGAAGTCGCATTCAGGGAAATTAAACTTTAATTTAAACAATACTTTCAATAGCACCCGTTTAATGAGCCATTATGACTTTATTTATAGTAAAAAGTTAAATTTTTGCAAGTATTATGAAAGAAACAAAAAGAAAATACACAATGTAGTTGTGCATTTTAAGAAACCAAACTTGAAATGTTTTTCTTTTCTTTTCTTTTCTTTTCTTTTCTTTTCTTTTCTTTTCTTTTCTTTTCTTTTCAACCGAAGAGCGGCAGTCAGGGCGCAAACGCACGGTTTTGGACAATGTAGTTCGTTTGAAAAAAAATTCCGTCACTCCTGCACGGTTAGCGTCCCACATTTCCCAGCCTGCCTTGCGGCCCCCGTGCTGTGTTGTGGTTCCTGCACAGACGCGGCCAGTTCAAGTTGCCATAGCACAGTGAATCAGAGGAACACTTTTGTTGCAGCTCACACTCGCACAGGAAAACGTCCTCTTTACAACGTCTGCAAGTATCTCTTGTATCTTTCTGTTCGTTAGTTTGTTATCTTATGCTTCGGTATCATAGCTAAATAATTCTGCTAACCCTGTTTTAGCTTGCGATCGAGTAGATGCCACTTGTTGCTAACTAAGAGCAGCATCTCTGAACTATGTCCAGTGCTGTGATTGACTGGGTGAGGGATAGAGTTAAATGCACTAATCTTCATAAGTTTCTTTTTACCTGCACTGATTTTTAATTGACAATGCCAGAGCTCGAATGGCCGATTGATACGAGGATTCTAAATAATGTAAACAAAGATGGAAAAACAATCGAACCATGGTAGCTAATCTGATTGGTTAACGGCGTTGTGCACCGACGAGGCTAGTGCACAGGAGTTGTTCGATCTGTGCAGGCAGTTGTTTTTTGGTCAGCTTCCCAAAAGTCTATTCCAAACTATGGACACGTCCAGCGGGTCTGAGTCATATGACAGGACGCGGGGACACAGGGCTCGGGGCCGTGAAGCCCACCGCAGATCCGTCCGGGACGGAGGCAGAGCCGGTGGGAGTGGAGGTGGGGATCGAACTGTTGACATCTCCGACAAGATCAACACTCTGGCTAATACTTTGGAGGTATTCCTTCGTGGGACCGATGCACTCTACACTTGCTGCAAGGATCTACTTATTTATGCTGCAAATTATTTTTACTTTTTTTTTTTTTTTTTTTGTAATTGAGAGCTGCCTTATTTTTGACAGGACACAAGTAGGAACTTGTCAAAAGTTGACAGGATGTTGGGCCAGTACAGAGAGCACAGTGATGAGCAGGCGGAGGCCATGGCACTGGTGAGACAGCAGTTACAGTATTTTGCATTGATCTTTATTCACTTTATTTGACACTTTATTCCTTGAATCCTATTGCTGAAATGTTTTTCTTAGTTCTCTGGTCATTAACTCTGTCCTTGTCATTTCGAGTTGATCAGTTGTGTTAAATTGTGATTTTACCCCCAGATATTTGATTGGATTGTATTATATATTGCTTGCAAAAATGGCTGATTCTGCAAGTTTGGATAAATCTCCAGAATGATATGAGACTGAGTTTTGCACCATGGATATTCATGCATGTTAACAGGCACAATGTCTGCATGTTTTGTTTCCCTCTGCACTTGCAGTGGTACTTCTGCAGCATGTGTTTGGTTAACTGATGATTTTTTTTTTCTGCCCAGCTCAGGGAAAACCTGGAGGAGTCCATCAATCAGCTACAAACCCAGAGGCCCAGCCGCTCCAACGGTGCTCGAAGTGAATCAGCTTCAGCCTCACCTCTTCACACCAGTGACCTGGAGGGAGGGTCATGGTCAGGTGTGGGGTCACGGAAATGTTATTCACTCCCACTTGGTCATATTTAAAAAAAAAAATTGCAATATGATTTCATTTGTGATTTTTAGAAGGCCAGCGTTTCTATCCCACTTCTCCACTGAGGGACTACACAGGCACGGCAACACAAAGGCCCAGGAGAAGGAGGTCTCAGTCTGTGGGTGTGCGTTTCAAGGATGCTAACATGGCAGAGGAAGACGTAAGTAACCCATGACCTGCACAGCTCTAAAAGACAAACCAAATAAACCCCTAAATTAGTTACTTGTGTCACGATTTTCTATTGAGTTTGTGCTGATTGTGTAAATATTCCCCACAGATTCACTCTTTACACCAGTCCCTAAGGGATGTTCGTTGTGACCAGCAGAGACTCTCTCATGATCTGGACAGAGAAATCCTCAGGAGGAACAGGTATCAGCCTGAGTATGGAAACCTCTTCAAGATAGAAAATTTATTACCACAAGTCTGACATTTTTAGCTTTGAAATGTCCCGTGTTGACGTGTCTCATAGGTCGGATATTGACACCCGAACCGCAATGGAAAAGCTCACGGGGCATCTGACAACATCACTGGGACAAGATTCAGTGAGTTGTTGTAAAATATTAGAATACTTCAAGTACTCTTTTCTGCCATTTAGAAAAGGTATCTTTTGCATTACATATGTTGTTTTAAAATGAGCTAAAATATTTTTGCCACCATGACCTTAATGGAACACACACTTAACTTTTCAATGTTCTGTGTTTTAGATGTCGTCTCGCGTGGAGCGCCGTCTGCAAGAGCTGGAGAGAGAGATGCGCAGCGAGACGAGAAGCTTGGACAGAGAAAGAAGACCTGCGATGCAGGAGGTGACACACGCCATTACCTTTGCAAGACCCAGTGTTTGGTGAAAGACTGAAAGCATGTTGAAGGATGAGCATTGTTTTTTTTTCTCTCTCAAGCTTTTCACTGTCTTTGCTTTTTACGTTACACCTGGCTGCGGTCAGATCAATCGCATAGACTGTAGTTGAACATCTTGGAAAAATATTTAATTGCATTTAATGGCAATAATGACCTCTCAGCCATTAAGTTTTAAAACGTGTCACCAAGTTTAAAGGATGATATTTGGCCAGGTTTCAACTTTCTAGCAAATTTCTGAAAGAAATTTAATTTACAACTTGAGTAAAAGTTTTAATTAAAAGACAACTCAGGTAATTGTTTTTTAAAAAAAATAATTTTAAATTAAGATCAGTCAACTCGCTGTTAAAATTGACTTTGATTTATCTTTAATAATGTACCCTTAAAATGTGTAACTAAAATAGTTACTAAAAACGTTTGATGCCACTTGTGATGAGTATGAGGCTGTTTTTCAGCATGAAAGAAAACATTACAAATGTGCCGTTAATGTAAATGTTGGATGGGCGTTTTTATAAAACCTCAGTTTAATTATGGTAATTGAAGAGCACTCTTGCTGGCAAACGTTGACGCAAATAGATTATATGATGGCAATTAGTCGATACAATGGGGTTGAAAATGTACTATTCTTCCACACAGTTAGGTGCAGTGATTCATCCCTAATCCAGTTACTTTTGCCAAAATAGAGTCTTCGACAAAGTTACAACACTGAAGTTTCTCAGCGCCTGAGATTTCTTTCTACCATTAGGTCTCGTCTGCTGCTGTTTGTTCTCACTCTGACAGCTGGGCTTTCTCCTCTGCGCTTCTGAGGCCACGATGCACCTGCAGAGTTATTTTTGATGTAATGCAAATGGTCGTGATGCAGTCATTTGGTAATGTTTTGGGCTCTCTTTATTTTAGGCACGCGTTCGGCTAAAAGCGTTAATGGCTCAGAGCGCTCTGACACTGCGAGCACTTAAGTGGCGGAGACTCAGTGCTGGTTGCACTCAGATGAACATAGTCATTTTGCAGCACAGTGTCTTGTATCACTGCTCTGCTTTCATGTTGTGCGTCGTCAACATGCTGCGTGTTCAGTTATAAACAACCGAACCGTTCATTTCTGGGTTACTTGTGTGGAGTCGAGTGCTTCATAATGTAATCAGTGTCTTGGCATCAGTTGCTGTTCAATCAATCCTGCCTGCTGCAGTTAGAGATTAGACCACCGGGGGGCGCTGTTGAGCTGTACTCTTCCTAAACACCTTCCAGAGAGAGAGACTTTTCTGCACACTGTTAAATGTTAGTAGCTACCAATTCATTTGCATCCCTCTCCTCTGTATGGCCCTAATGGGACACCGGCAGGGCCTGGAGTGATGGGAAATAGTGCATTTGTCCGAAAATTAAGGGTAAATAAACAAGCACAAGGAAATGAAGAGGAAAATAACCTTTTTTTAACTACTAAAGAGTTCGAGGAAGAGGAAGAGCACAGGACACATTGGTTCCCCCGCAATGGGCCCGCTGTGATGTGAATCAAATAGATGATGAGTCACTTGGGAAGCAGTTATTGCAAGCAGCCGGTTGTTCATCTCTGCAGCCTGTTCTGAATGAGTCGGGCTGAGTGGGAACGAAGCTCTTGTACAAATCAAGAGTCTTGCCTGAACCGTGTTCCGAGAAGACACGATGGGGGGAGAGAGAGGGCGTGATGCAACAGTGCTTCTAATATTGCACTCGTACAGTGGGGTCATGTCTTTGTGTGATTTCTACTTTTATTTCGTAGACTTTAGGATGTCTTTCTACTTTTATTTCGTAGACTTTAGGGAGACAAGTCTCAGCCCGTGACAGCGATGAGGCCACGACAGCCAGGGTGTTGAAGGCAGAGACGGAGAAGTCCAAGGTAAATATCTTTAGGCTTTAAAAAAAATGTTTTCATTTATAAATATTATGATGCACATAAAGATAATGCCTCTAGTTAACCTGCAGATTAGGTTCAACTGTTCCTGTAGGTCTTTCCTGAAGTGTTTATAGTTACAGTACAGCACAAGTCGTGGTCTGCAGGGAGTTTCCACAGTATCAGAATGATCTATATGTCTTTATATATATGATATATACATATATATACTGCATTTGTCTTATCTGTCTTTTGTCTATGTTGTAAATCTACTCAGATGGAGCAGGACCTGAAAAATGCACAAAGGCTTTTAGAGCAGTCGGAAGGCAGTCGAGAGTCGCTCTTTCAACAGGTTGGCTTTCTGGGCGCTGCATATTTGTAAACAAGTGTGGAAAATGAACCTGTGTGAGGTTAATTATTAATGTTCCAGTTGTCACACTGTGAGCTCTGTTTGTCTGGACGATCCTCAGGTGGAGAACATGCGTGAGGAACTTCTGAGGACGAGAAAGGAGAACAGCGAGCTCCAGAAAGCCCAGTTGGAGTCCTCCCAGCACACTGCTCAAACACATGGCAACCGAGAGGAAAGGAGTGGCCTCAGAGAGCCAGGTACTACGGTGATGAGATTCGTCATTACGTAACATATTATATTTCAGAACATTTCAGAAAAAAAATGAAAATATAAAGATCTGTTTGACCTTATATAAAAAATATCCTTACAGGAAAGTCCCGTAGAATTGTTGTTGAATAATGTCGTCATGATTTTATGTTTTGTTATTCTGTTCAAGAGACTAATCCATCGGTCGCTGTAGTCAACAGGTTTCCATTTTTTTTTAAGTTGCATCACTACCCCCTAGACCCACTAGAGGGTAGTAATGCTCCTCATAAGCTTCAGATCTGCTAGTTTACATAAGCAGCGCCACTGCAGCTACTGTTAGTGATTGGTCAACAGTCTTTGTGACATGAGTGATAGTATTTCTCCCTTGCTAATATACTAGCGTAACTAGCTAACCTCAGTCTTTAATGTAAAGTGCTCTTGATGCAATAACTAGCACTTCACTAACCTCAGTCTTTAATGTAAAGTGCTCTTGATGCAGTGGTGGCTTAGTGGTTAAGGAAGCGGACTTGGGTCTGCAAGGTTTCAGGTTTTTACATATTTGACCTAGATTTCAAAAACATCCTTTATTTCCTATAACGTACAGCCATAATATATAAAGCGGGTAAACGCTACAAGATTAAACTGCACGATTTTTCATGACCTCAGTTGCACTAGAACAATTAATAGAAAGGCATGTGTGCTGAATATTTAATCAGCTGAAATACAGTGCCACAGTTTAAAAAAATGACTGTGCTCTGGGTTTGTATAAATGTGTTAGGTCGTTCGGACCTGGAGAAAGAAGTGGCAGAGCTGAGAGTCCAACTGCGCAAAGCATTTGTCGTCGACGAGGTGGAGGAACTGAGGAGGGCTTTGGACCGCAAGGAGAAGGAGAAGCTCCGTCTCAGCCTGCAGGTGGAGGTGTGTGGTACAAATTAATATTCTCCCTCATTTGTCTATATCTGCAATGTACTATGAATAGAAAAAAGAAAGAGAAAAAAAAAAGAGTTTAATAGGTTTACGACTAATCAGGCTATTTAAAACAATCCCACAGGTCACTTACTGTTTA